AAGTTTTTATTAAAAAAATTAAACTTTTTAATAAAAACACAGGCAAATTTGCCTGTGTTACAATTTAAGGGATAATAGATTAAATTAAATCTAATATAAAAAAAAGATAAAATCTGGCCAAGGGTCATTTCATATGCAAGAATTAAGGTTGATCTATACCAGAAGGCTAAAGAATAATTTGCATAAATAAAAAAGAAAAAAGATCCAAGACTAACACCTTATAATATTGACTTTTTAATTCCTTCATTTTTCACATTTACTAAATAATTATTGTAAATGTTTGACATTTCTTTTGAATACCAAATGCAATGGTAGTTCTAATGATTAAAATTGATTCCTCTGCAATCTTTTCTGCTAAGAAATAATTATCTAAACTTTGTTTTGCAAAAATAGTAATAAATTTATTTATTATAAAGCTTGTCAACCCAATCAATAAAATCATACAACAAATAACTAAAGTTATTTTTCAACTTATAATGAATATAATTATGAAGGCAGAAACAAATTGGACAGTATACTAAATAAATAACAATTAATAATAATTAAATTTTAAATATCAATAATTAAAGATTTCAAAATTATTTACTTGAAATAAAAGAGAAGCCTTTTCACTAATGCCATCTTGAATTAAATAAGTATCATTTACAATACTAGTAATTTTATCTACACTAATGTTATCAAAATAAGCAATTGCCAAAGACTGGCACAAAAATATCTTTTATGAATTTTTTGTGTAATTCTTTCACTAGTGCATACCCAGGTTGCTATATAAATATAGGTAGCAACAAATGTAATGATTGCAATATATAGTAAATACAAGGAGTACTTGCTAATTTGGTAAGAAAATTCATCTCCAAAAATTTCATGGTTTTGAATGAGAGTAAGATAATCTACCTTTTTTCTATAAATAACTGTCATTAATAGCTATTAAATTCAAAGAAAATACATATATTAAGACTAATTATCAAAATTTCTCAAAGTTAATTATTTCATGAAAGGTATAGAAGGTATGGTAAATAAAATACCATGGCAACACTAGCAATATTAGAAAATACCAGACCAATAAACATTATCAGAAAATTAAGTTTTGTAGCAATCTAATACAGTCGACTATAAGTTGTGCTTTTTGTTCCAATATACTAAATTTTTTTCTACTTGTATCATAGCTGATTCAGTTTCAAAACTTGATGTCATAATTACTATTGTACTTAGTTTATATAAATTGTATACTTTTTATAATCAAATGCCATACAATACTTTTTTCTTAATTCAAATAATTAGAATTGATTTATTATGTAAATTAAAAATAGTAATATGCTTATTGTTAATTGTATTGTATTAGAGATTAAATCAACCAACTATAGCTAAAATATTTAACAATAATCAATCAATTAGCATAGCTATTGAGACTTTACAGTACTGTGGAATGGAAACAGACTAAAACAGAAAATTAAAAGATTTGGATAACAAAACTCTTATAGGTTCAGAGTTTTACCAACCTGGTCACCAGAGTCGCACTGGAAGAAAAGAACTTGTGTTCTGGAAGCATGTACCAAGAGAAGGAAGCTATAAGGCACCTAAAGCCAAGCAGCACAACCCTTCTGGGCTAACTGGTTTGGTAGTTTGAAGAATTCAAAGATATAGTTTAGAAAGAAGATGGAAAACTAGTACTGGAGTCCAAGTTAACCATACAAGGGCAAAAGCAGTTAAATGGAATCATGTGAAGTTAGAGAACTGCAGATAAAATTTTACACTGCGAGATTAGAGACCCAGGACATCAATTGACGGACTTAATAGCATGGTTACAACTGCAAGTAGAAGCCTCGGCAACTGCGGAAAGGTAATTGTGAGTGGGTACACAAGACCCTAAATCTTGTAATCATATCCAGTAGATTTAGATCGAGGGTAAATTAGAAAGACTATAGATACTTAGGTATATCTATATAGGTAAATCTGTATAAGGTAAATCTTAGATATAGATAGTTAAGTACATAGCTCTAAGTTTCAAATGCAATTAATTAAATTATGTTGTTCACACAGTAATACTGTATAAAGTAATATACGTTAAAATTTAATAAAGCATTTAGACCAAGATCTCATCTTAAAAAAAAAAAAAAAAAAAAAAAAAAAAAAATTATAATTATATTTATATTTACAAATTAAAATTTTTAAATTGCTTTTTCAATTAAAAAAAAAGTTAAAGAAACAAAATTTAATCTTCAATAGTTTTTTCTTCAACTTAACTATTTTTTGAACTATCAAAAAATGGCTGATTTCAAAGAGATTTTTAGATCTTTTATTAATCTTTTCTCTTATAAACAATTACAAATAGTCTTACTAGCATGGCTCCCTTCAAAATTCAAGCTATATTTCTCTGGAATAATCACTGTAGACATGTTTATAACCACTTTAATAGCAATTGCAATAATTACATTAATCTATACTTCTTGTTTCTTGCTACAGATGTTTCAGTTCAGATTACAAAACTCTGTAGAATTTTATTAGTTGGAAGCATTCTCATCTTTCATTTGCTAGCATTATAATAATAAAGATGCACCCTAATATTATTCTTTAAATCATCAATCTAACTATAATTTAGACTAATTTCACTAGTATCTTTATATGTAACTAAGCTCTAGCATTTGGTTAACATATCTATTTATTCTCTAAATATATTTGATTAATTTCTTTGTATATTTATTAGTTTATAAGCTTATTTATATAAAGCTTTTTTGTATTATTAAATCAATGAATTGTTTATCAATTGATTAATGTGATCTTAAATAATACAAAATTTAACAAGACAATGATAAGAGTTATCTTTGCCTTGAAATTGGCAGAAATTAAGTTATGTAATTATATTTGTTTAGATTAAACTATTTAATTTTAATGAGAATAGATTATTTTAATAATATCTCTATAATATAACTCTTTGTTGCTATTTTTTTTGATACTTTTCAGGTTTACTATGCTGTAATTTATTTCTTTTTTTCAATGAGCCTGTCTTAATATTTACTCTGTTTTTCTTTTTTTTCCTACTTGTTTTTTGTCACTTGTATTATCTAAATTACTTTTATTTTTTAATTTATTTTTTGATGTTATTTTTTTGATTTCTAATAATTCTATATCAACAAGATTAACCCACTCATTACAGGTACCTTCTATTTGATAGTCAATAAACTCATTCCATTCTTTAGTAACAATATCTGTAGTATTTACCAATATCACATAACCTTTACGACCATGAACTGCTCTAGCAAAGTCTTTTATAAGTGTTTTAACACCAGAAATTCTTAAAGACATTCTCATTATTATCAAACAATCAGCTTTATTCTGATCGAGTGTAGTAATTTGACAAATTTCTAATCCTTTAGAATGTGTGTCACTATAAAGGATTACTGTTGGTTTTAGTTGTCCAATAGTATGAGGTCACCTTCCTTGCTTGTCCCTAACCTTCTCTATTTATTGAGGTATATATAATTAATCATTAACTCCAAATCTGCATAAACTTAAAATAATTGATAAAAGAAAAATAAATTACTATATGTATCAACTAGAATAAAAACAACACATCTGATTTTAGTGCAAAAATTAACCAAGGTTATAGTGGTTTATTTATTTGGCACAATATTCTTACTCACTCTGGTTGCTTTTATTCGGTAACATATAATATTTTATGTATTTATCTCTTTCTTCATATTTGAGACAATTTGGCATTTTACCTTTCTTGAAAATATTACAATATTGTAGTATAAAAGAACAAATGTTTGTGCAAGCATTATATTGTAATTTTGCCCAGGTTTTGTGTAATTGAACTACTTGAGCTTAACTCTTTCAAATTGCCAATCCATATGTAGTTCTACTAATTCTTCGAGATTATCTATATTTTGTATATATACTTTCTTTAATTTTTTTATGTCTGCTAATTTTTTTATAAAAAAATGAGTGATAGTTGGTTTAGTATTTACAACTAATGCTTTTAACAAGCCCATAAAAAGATTAAATATTTTAATAGATTCTTTGGTCTAAGTAAGCATGCATCAAATAATTCTTTGCCTGAACAAAAGGTACCCAGATATTTATTAGATATTTACTTTTTATAATGCGATAAAGACTATCAGAACTACTAAAATCCTATTTGTAATATAAGAAAAAATATTTTTTTAAGAATTACTAACTCAATCAATGAAAATGTAGAAAAAAATCAAATTAGCTATTACTTATAGGTATTTCTCTACTACAAGAAATACCAGCTTCAGTAATTATAATAATTTGTTTAGCACATGCTATAAGCCTATTTACTTTATAGAGTAGTGGACTATTTTTTTCTATCTTAAGATTTAATTTAACTACCTCCATTAATATTTTGTAGTGTCTAGCATTTGAGGCACCTTTTATATTTTTTTACCAAGAATCCTTTTTTTTTATTCTTTTAGTATATTTCTTTGATTCTATTACATAATAACATTATATATTTCTAATACAAATTTGTATATATTTTTTTTTGTACCAATTATAAGTTTCATTCATAATAAGAAGTTGAAGTCTTTATTATAAAATGATTAAATATTTTCTAATTCATTATACACAAAAATAAAATCAGATCCGAAATTTATATATAAAAAGATAAGGCAATTTTTTAACTAAGAAATAAATACTATGCAATAATTTATATGTATAGAAATCTAGACTCAAAAAAAAAGCAATACTATTTCTATATAAATTGAAAGTATTTTAATCTTTAAGTCTCATCTGATATATATTTTAATAATTATATGCATAAAAGTTCTTGAAATATTTATTTATAAATCTTTAATGTTAAACACTAGAAAGTTTTTGGTATAAAATTTTTATGTATACTTTAAAAGATTTTTAAATAAACAGTTTATTATTATATACTATAGCAATGACTTTAGAAGCATAAGAAGAACTTACATTATATGTCTAGTTATATACATGTAACTGTTATAAACTATTATAAAATGATACCTGATTGGATAAAAACATGTCACTAATTATAAATATTTTTATTAGCATATTAACACAATTTGTATTAGTATCATATTCAGATGAATGATCTAAAAAATTCTTACATTTATATAGCTTTTTATCCAAATGGCCAAATGGTTAATTATAAGAAATAATTCTTACTTTCACTAATATTTTTGGTCTGAATAGTTAACTTAGTTTTAGTCTTAAATAATTCAGATAGTATAGCTTTGTAGATTAATAAATATGTAATATTAATAGATTTTTTAATCTTTATAAATAAATTCTTGTAACAAAGGAAATGTGTTAATGTCAAGATTATTTGTGCCTTAATACAAAAAGTCTTTTGTCCAAATGATTAGTTTTTGTACTATAATCAGAATTTTTACGTGAAAACTATATATTTTTCACTACTAATATTTATATGCATCAATTTTTTATAATATAATATATTGTTAATTGGTTTTTTCAATCTTTATGAGCAAATTCTTAAAAAAAGAAAAAGTCAATTTAGTATCAAAATTCTTTGTGCTTTATTACAAATAGTTCTTTAGAATCAAAATTCTTTGTAATTTACTGTAAATAGTCTTTTATACGAATGGTTAATATATGAAATACTTGATAATGTCATAGTGTAAAGTATAAAATAATTATTTAAAGGACCAATTTTTGTTAGTTTGAAATCAAAATCTAGCAAATTTTGAATACTAAATATAAACAAAAAAAAAAAGAATCAAACTAATCTATCTGATTATAAACTTAATAAAAAATCTAAATCTGATTCAGTGTTCTATTGTACTTTTAAACATGAACATTTTGAAAACTATGAGAAGGAACCAACAAATATTGTTTCTAAAAAACTTATTTTAAATTTCTTTTCACATGCTTATAATCTGATAAAATAAATCAAAATATAGTTGTTCCATATGTTATGATCCAAATTTATTAGATACTATAGTAAAACCACCAATTTAAAGACTTTACAAACCAGCTTTTTTGAGGTATTTTAAATTTAATTTATGTATTCAAATATATTGGAATAAAAGAATGTCAATTATAGATTGAAAGATTATTTAGACTGTGTTTTTTTATTTGATAATAATAAAGAATATATCAAGTTTGATAAATCTGTTTTACTGATTATAAAACAAGATAGAATTAATTTGATTCTTTAAATCAACAAAACAAAGATAAAAGAATAATATTTGATAAAATTAGTAATTCATTTATTCTTCAAAATCTAGATAATAATTAGGGATATTTATTATTTTTTAAATTTATCTAACATATGTATATTATTAATTATTTGTAAATTAATCATAAATTAACCATAAATCATATGAATAAACCAAATAAAATAATAAAACAAAAATTTGTATAATTTTAAACTTAAAAAAATCTTGATAATCAATATGAGCTGTGATAGCTAAGGCATTAATTTTTTTAAAAAAAAGTGATCTTATTAATGGCAGATTATATGTATAAGATCATCTGAACAAATTCATGGCTAAATAAATAATAATTATTTTTGTTAAATGGGATCTATCATTGACTAGTCCATTTCTAATAGTTACATACTTGTTTTATTTAATTAATCTAAAAATTTTTTCTACTTAATGTATATATGCTTTTTCTATTTTTTTTGAGAATAGTATTCTGAGAAGATCCTTAGAACTATTTCACAAAAATATAAATCCATATTAAATAAGAAATTAATGAAGCAATGCATAAGGCCACACAAAGTTGATTTTTCATTTTGCATTACCCGCCATCTCATTTTTTAAATTTTTTAAATTTTTTTTTTTTTAGGTGCCAATTGTATCAATTATTCGATTTTTAGCATTTATTTTTTTTACATTTTTTTCTGGCTTTACCCGCATAAAATCCTAACTTTCTGAAATTATCCGATAGGACTGACATAAAAAAAAAAAAATCTGTTTACTTGCTCTGAATATTGAAATCTATGTAATGCAAAATGAAAGCTCAACTTTGTATTGCCTAATATTATATTAAAATTTCATATGTTATAATTTGTAAATATGAACTTATTGAATAAATAACTTTTATATATAATATTCTGATTAATAAAGAAGCCATTCTTGTGATTATCAAAATAAATCTACTATTCGGTAAAAGAATAATTTTAGTTGTTACTGAAAATAGAATTTAAATAGAATTATTTGTTACCAAAATTAAAATTTAAATAAGATTATTTATTTGTCACTAAAGTTAAATACTGAATTATGTTTATGTATTGTTTTAAGAATAAAACTGATTTTTTTTAAATTATCAACATTTTCTTTAATTAATTAAATATCAGGTGATTATGAAAGACCTGCTTGTATTATATTTTCTTTATAGTACATATATGTATTCTTATCATTTTTAACAAATTTGAAGCATTAATCAAAAGAACAAATTAAAATCAGAGAGAAAAAAGCAAAAGCATTTGTTTTTGTTGTTAATTTTTTTTATTTATTATTCTGTTACTCACCATCAACCTTCTTGATAATATCTCTAATGCTTTTTATCTACTTTATTCATTCAATTCATTTTATTCACTTTTCTATATACAGAGAAGATGACCAAGTTTCATTTTGCTTAGTAACCCTATTAGTCTAGCACTAATCTGGCTATATTTTGCTTATATATTTGATATTTCTTCTTTTGATTATTAACTATCAAATTGAAAAAGGGTGTGACAGCTTAGTGAAGTGGTCTAGTTATCACCTCTCCAAGCAGCAGGTCTAGAGTTCAAATTGCACAAACAATGATTTTGAAAATTTAAAACTGTGTTTAGTAATGATTATCTATTGATTAGTTAGATCTACAATCTGTAATCTTGGTTGCACTATCTTGTTATGGGAGCTTTGACATATAAATACCAAGAAACCAGGGTGATTAAAAACTATTTGGAAAGACCCAAGTAAGGAATAGTAGAAACTTTTGACAGTGCTACAAGAAGACTGAATTCAGAACCAAAAACCAAGACTAGAGAACCGATAACCAGGTCCTTAAGTAGGAGGACACACTAGCCGAATTGCTGGATCACCAACCGGAGGAAAAGAACATGTACTTTGGAAGTATATATTAAGGGAAGAGAGACTATAAGGCATCTAAAGCCTGGGCAGACCAACCCTTCCGGGTTGCTAGCTGGAAACAAAAGAGAGACAGGTAAAGAATCTGAGAAAGAAGGAAAGTTCAAATGTAGATACTAGAATAGAAATGAACCTTATAAGGGCAGGAGATATAGGCAGCTCAGGTAACTAGGCTCACTAGTATACAGATAAAGCTATAGCACAGTATCTCTGAACTGAATCTGAAAACATGTAGGATGGAGAAAGATTCCAGAGAGCATCTACTGCATCCTCTCTCGGGTAAATACCGGTTGATTAAATTCGAAGAGTTTATCTATAAAGAAGTAAAAGTCAGTAGGAGAATGCCAGCCTGGGTGGCCTTTGTATAGCACAAGGTGAGACAATTTGAACTAAATGGGGTAGTGCAGGACTGGAGATATCAGAGAGTTTAAATAGGTAACTTCTTAGTTGAGTTATAGATATGATATCTAGTATAGAACCTTCGGGCGAACTACTCAAATAGGCACTTAAAAGGTGCACATATGGCTTGTTGTACTCTTATAGATCTAGAAATGTACTTGCAGCATGTAACATTATAAAAATATAATAACATTTAAATATTACTCCTAATAAAGTTTGCCTGTCATAGCA